TTGTTGTTGCAGCTCTTGAGATGAGAATTGTTTATACATTTTTCAATCATTACCTTTTAAATGGTTATAAAAGTACCTACATAGCAGCCTCCATTTTGCCACTTGCCCCACAAAGCATAAAATACGTACTACTTGGGTCTTTCAGAAAAAGTTTGCTGACCCCTGACTTAAAAACCTTAGTCATAATAATTGGAAGAAGTCTCTGAATTGTAGTGAAATCTGAATTTGAGAGTAGTTTTAAAGAAACATATTTTTATATTTGCTGTATATTTGGTCCAGCAGGAGATGTTGCTAGTGTGACTGATTCATGGATGGGCATTAGTAACTTAGTCTGAGTAGGGCATTGCCTTGGCTACAAAATTTTATTCTGATGTTTCAGAGTGAAACATAGGACATTTATCAATGACTGGGACACAAAGGCCTTGCTTTTGCATCGAAACATGTGGGCTGCTTTCCTCAGGACTCCAACCTGACTACAGATGGAACCACAGGAAGGGCAGATCTGAGAGAGTGCAGAGATGGAGCCAAAGCCCTGATCACACCATACCTGAAACCCACCCTAGCACCTGACTTTTGGGTTAGGTAGATATCTGTTTATTAGATAAGCCAATAAATTTCATTTATAGTTTGTCATTAGAATTAGGTTTGTGTTATTTGTACATAAAGCTGTCTTTACTAATAAAATGGTATTATTCTACCTCTAAGAAGAATTTCACAGAATACCTTTGAGGAATAATTTCTGGAATTGTTTTATCCTTTGTACATCAGAATCATTGTAAAAAAAAATTTATGGTTAACAACATGGACCAGGAAGCTGGGAAGAGGAGCAATTATATTGGATGACTGCATCAAGATCTAAAAACTCCTGATAGGCAAAAACACTTTATCAAGTACAGCACTGAAATTCAGTAAGAATGCATTTAAGAATATGAATAAGAATGAGCTGCATGTGTAAGAAAAGGCAATGACTGGCCAACACTGTGATGTGACCACCAAAACCACTAATGCGTTTTTAGGCTGCATTATTTAGAATGTCTCTTCTTTGCTCCTCAGGCCATGCCTTTAGCTCAGTGCTGGGTCCCAGACTGTGAAAGGCATCCAGACAAACTGGCACTCAGAGTGGCTAAACAAGCTGGTGAGAACATTTAAAACCATATCAAATGAGGAAGAGTTGAAGGGACTGGAGAAGCCCATGAATGACACCAATGATAGCAGCTGTTATAATAGTAAACATTTAAATACTCACTATTATGTGCCTGGAACTATGCTAAGCAATTTTACATCATATCATTTATCCTCGCAACCACCTTACATTGAGGCATATCATTATTTACCACCCCTGCATCCACAGGTGAGGAAACCAAAGCTTAGGGGGAAAAAAAAACTTAGCCAAGGTCACACAGCTGATAAGTGGCAGAGCCATGGGATTTATTAGTTATAGGAGATGGCTTTAAGAGGTAAATGCAACAACACCTTTAGGTATTTGGATTTTCGAGAAGGATAAAGATTTGTTTCACATGGCTCTGATTAGCAGAACCGAGACCAATGGGTAGAAGTTACAGGAGGATTTCCACTGAGTATAAGACCATCTAGTCTCTTCTTTTTTAGCCAAGAGGGGATTTTCTTTCTGAAGACCACTGACTCAACCCAAAATTTCCGGTTTACCCTGGCCAGACTGGACAGTTCTTCCTCAGTCCTCATCTTCTTGGACCTATAATCACACCTGTTTTCATGACATGTTGCTTGGCCTACATGAGAGCACGTTTTATTTCTGTTCTTCCTTTGGACCCCCTTTCCCCTTTCTGCCCTCTTCCTGTGAGCATTTGACAGTTCTGTTCAGGGAGTCCAGCCTCCAAGCCAGCCTGGTCTGATGGCACTGGTCTGTGTGTGCTGCTTTGATGAATAGGGCTCCTTGTCTGATCACCACATCTCCTTTGTAGATGCTCCATATTTCATCAGAAACTCAATGTGGCAAAACTCAAACTTACTTTACCCGTCTAACTGTTCTACACCTCAACCTCCCAATTTTTAAAGGATTTTTCTTATTTGTTTTCAGAGAGAGGAAGGGAGGGAGGGAGCAAGCGAGGGAGAGAAATAATGTACAGTTGCTTCTCGCGCACCCCCTACTGGGGACCTGGCTCACAACCCAGGCATGTGCACTGACTGGGAATCAGACAAGCAACCCTTTGGTTCGCAGACTCAATCCATTCAGCCACACCAGCCAGGGCTAACATCCCCATTTTTGTTGGTAGCAACCCTACTATCCTGTTCTTCCTTATCCACCTTCTGTTTGTTCTTCGGCCTGAAATCAACCACTAAGTCCTATCAACTTCTCCTTTATAGGATCTCTTGAATTTGTTCTTTCTTCTAGAGTCCCCCTCTAACACTCAAAGGATTAGTCCTTGTAACTCCTCTGCAACTCTCCTAAATGCTCTTGCCACTGCACATTCTAAATCCCATCTTCACTCGCTTGTGTAAGCACCAGCGACAGCTCCTCATTGCCCACTGAATTAGGTCCATTGATTCCTGGGTTCCAGGAGCTCCCAGCAGAAACCTTCCACTTCTGTCTTGCCGGCCCAGTGTGGTCATCCCCGGCCCCGAGCACCAGGCTCCACTTGCCCCTCCCCACCTTCACTCATGCTGCTCTCCTCCTGAGGGCAGACCTGTCATTTGCTGGTTCAACTTGTCTTCTTTTAAGGCCCATGCTTGGTTCACGTCTTCCTCTCAGCATTCGCTTCCTTCTCAGCATCCCTCCGGTTCCTGTAACCTGCTCCATTTCACACTCTAGTACTTGGGAAGTAAAGACTCCATTGGAATTTTACATTTAAAAAGCCCCTTAGTTCTTCAGAGTAGATTTAAAATTCTTTAGGGCAGCTCCTTGTATGCTCTGCATCGCACTGACATCCAGCACCAGGCTGCTCGGACAGGTGCTCGTTGACTCAGACCTAAAGAAAAAAGTAATATGGGCGATTTATTAAGTTCTGCAAGTGTACTGATTACTGTACCAAACAGAGGCATTGCCCTCATTTTTAAGATAAGGAAACCAAGGCCAGGAGGTTAAATAACGTGGTCAAGTCCACATAGCTGTTAAGTGTTGGACCCAGAATTTGGACCTAGGTCAGCTGGGCCCAGAGCCTGCGCTTCGACCTCAGCACCGTGGTGGTCGGGCGCAGTCCTGCGCAGTCCTGGTGAATTCCAGTCCTGCCCCGCTCTCGAGGACCAGTGGGACCCAGTGCTGTCAAACTGCTGTGTGTGGTAAGAAGAACCCTTCTTTGTTCCCCTGAGAAATGGGGGTACACACATGTGGTGTTTAGAAAGGCAGTCTCATCACTGGCCGTGTCCTCAGGGAGGGTAGTCTTGCCCGATTTTAACTAACGGTTGTTTGGGACAATAATGAAAAGAAGGACTTGCTTCTCTGGGCCTCACACTTTCTTGTTATTTCTAGGGGTGATAGATATGGAAACTTCCAATCTCACACCCTGCCAAACTTTTGGCATTTTATCTTTTCAGAGGATTGATTTCCTTTATTTCTATCTTCTTTGAGATCTGCTTCATTTACATCTCAACTCTGAGAGTGTTGACAAAAAAGATCTCATCCCCATTTCTTTGCTTGATTGACTAGGGACACCTTGTTACCAGATCTGCTTTTATACGTATAAAAATAAAGTAATTGTTTCAGAGTATTAACTAATTGGACTTTTTTAGAAGGTTAGCTTGATCTTTTCCCTTGTAGGATAAAAAGAAGTGTTAAATCAGGTATTAAAGAAAAAGGACATATCTATGGAAAAATGATCTTTGGAGAAGCCCACCCAGCAAAGGTCAGCAGTAAAGGTTGAGCAGGACCAGGCTGAACGCTCACTGGGCGTCAGGGCACAGCGAGCAGGGGCGGTGCGCGAGCGTGCGGACGTTCGCGGGGAGCCCTGGCCGTGTCACGTACATGCATCCCTTACGACCTTCATAGTGAATGTCATATTTTACAAATAAAAGTTTGCTTTAAAACTTTCACTGTTCTCTCGGTGTTTGTTTTTCATTTTGTTTTTTTGTCTTGGAATTTTACATAGGTATTTCAAAGTAAGTACTTTTAAGTATCAGCTCTAGCTAAAGAGAAATTATATCCTTCATAAACCATTTCTATATAGAATGTAAACTTAAAAAATAGCAGGTACATAACCCTGCTATTGGCTATCCATTACACTTTTGTTTGATACAACAAAATATTTGTCAGCTCGGACTGCCTGAATGTACCTCCCATTTTTTTAACATTTAAATTATTTCTAAAAATTCAACATTTTCAGAGAACATATGTTTAATTTTTAAATGGAAACAGGACACTCTGTGATGTAGTAGGAAGTGCAGTGAATTGAAAATTATGAGACCTGGGTTCCAGATCTGACCTTGCTCTGTGACCTTGGGCACATCTGACAAATTTGAGAACTTTTTTATTGGAGAGGAGGGGTCTGGAGAGAGAGAGATAGAGAGAGAGAAGAGGAGGGAAGGGAAAGGGAAGGGAGGGGAGGAGAGGGGAGGAGAGGAGAGGAGAGGAGAGGAGAGGAGAGGAGAGGAGAGGAGAGGAGAGGAGAGGAGAGGAGAGGAGAGGAGAGGAGAGGAGAGGAGAGGAGAGGAGAGGACTGGATTGCTTCCAGTTCATAAATGCCAGGCTTTTGTGATTCAAAGTAGATTCTTTCTTTTTCTAACAGTGACCTCTTGTGGCATGTATCCTTAATCAATTTTTTGATTTGCAAAGTAAACTTTGGATTTATTTTTGTTGTTTCTAGTAACTGTATTTCATATTGTTAAACAAATGTGACTTATTTTCAAAACACAAATCTCAGTTGAAAATTAGAAGTTGATTAAAACAGGATATAGAGGACCAAGCTCCACTCTATAAACAGGCTCTGTGGTTTCTTCAGAAACTGTATATGGCCGACTCTTGACACTCACAGAAGGAGAAACGCTTTGGCTTTTGTGCTGAGTGCTGTGTGTATTCCTCTTCCTCCTAGGGACCAGGCGAAGAGGGGTTCGAGGGCTACATCGTGCCCCAACAGCTCGGACCCGAGCAGGCTGGAAACCAGAGCAGGTGAGGTGCTTGTGTTCTCAGAGGTCTCCACCTTGCCTTCACCTCCAGCATCTCTGTTCATAGAAAAAACATTTGCACCGAAAACATCTGATGTTGGCTCCTTGTTTGAAAACTCCAGGTGATTTGTCCAACTTGGTCACATGCCAACATTTATTTTTATAACTTTTTATTATCTTCACAGTAGTCTTACCATTCTTACCATTATTCCCAGCTCAAATATCTGTAGATTATAATCTTAATGAAATTATTTTGTGATAGTATTTGGAAAGTTTCAAAACTTGACTCCAACATGGTTACTGAATTCAAAAATTTAGTTTAGAATCATTACTCACTTAAGTGAAACTATATCAACTGTATGATAACTGCCCTCTGGGTGTTTAAACTAATTGAAAAAGATATGTAACACTATAAATCACAGACTAGAAATGATACAAAATGTATCATGCCATGGAGTATAGCAATTAGAAAAGTGAACTAGGCTATATTTATAGTACTGAGTGAAATGACTATAAACATAACATTATGTGAAAAATTAAGTTGCAAAATATGTTTTTCATGGATCCAGATTTATGTTGTAAACATGTAAAGTCAAGCATGATAAAAATAAAAATAAGCTCCTGATTTAAAATGGTAGCAACCATCGGAGGGAGAGGGAGCAGGGGACAGGTGGGGGAGTAACACAGAGGGCACCAAGTGTCTCTGTAACGTTCTGGTTCTTTAAAACAAGGAGAATGAAAGTAGAGTTAATATTTGACCAAAGTAGTTTTGGATATGCAGGTGTTTGTTATATTCTTTGTACTTTTGTTACATACATGAAATTTTACAAAACCAAACTTATATTAAGTTCAAAGAATATTTTATTATCTTCAAAACTAATTTCTTATAGATAAAATGACTTTTGTGGCCAATGAGAAACCTTAGGTAGACTGATTTCCGTGTCAGCATTGTTGCCGAGCACTTTACATCTACATGCTAAAAACACCAGCCAATAAACACTGTGTCAAGTTTTTGTGTCCAGAACGCAAAGCTGTGGTTAAGAGCTATAACCACTGAGACAGCAAAATCTTAAAAAACATGCTGAAATTTCTGCTCAACTTACACAATTTCCTGTTGAATCATAATTTTTATATTTAGCAAACCTAGATAAAAGTGCTTTCTATAATGTTAGGTGGTTGCCCAAAACTGAGACAAACTTTAATTTTTGTGGCTCCTAAAAAGTAGTCATAGGATTCCAGGCTTCAGTTTCTAGAACAGAAACTGAGTTTGTGTAGTATGTACAAAGGGATTTGTGGGGAGAGCAGAGCTGGAGGAGGTGCGTGAGGGTGGGGAAGGGGAGAAGCTGGACTGGAGACACTGCTCATGCAAGGGTGTCTAGGAGAGAGTTGAAAGCAAACCCTTACGCCATAGCGTCTGGCTAACTTCTGTTCTGAGAAGAAACAAACCTTAGAAACATTCAGAAGAGCCTATGAGGGCCTTTCCTTTCTGAAGGTTAAATAAACTGTTCTGTGATTTCTGGCTCAGCCCTGTAAATTAACTCTTCCTGGGGTGAGCATGTTACCAATTCTGTTTGTCCTGAGAGAAGAGTCGATAACCCTGGTTTCTCATAAAGCTATTCTGTTAAGGAGTATATTGCATAGAAGGTAAAAAGGCTGATTTGAACTTACTGGACTTGAAATTTGTATTTCTAGTAAATTTAAGTGCATCATGCATATTTGTTAATTAAATTATTTTTCTGGCATTGTCTTTTGGCTTTTTGCTTGATGTATGTTGGTTTTATTCATATACTTTGGGCTTTGAAGATGTCACATACCTGGGAATATGAACAACTATGTTTTTTATACTGCTTGAATATTCATGTTTACTTTTAGAATCCATATTCGTAATTTATCACAGTGAGTGCAGACTCATAAAAGTAATGATCCAAAAGATTGCAGCGGTGGTCTGCAATCCTTTATCTGCTGTTCCAAAATACCAAAAGCTCTGAAAGCTGAAATCTGTTTCAAACTCATTCAGTGACAATGCCTGACCTGTACTGATCCAAGGCTGATGTAGTCTTTGATTTGTTAGTGTGAATATTCACATGTTTTGCTACAGGGGGGCTGCCCCAAAGACCCTGCTTGGCGTGGTAGGTAATATGCAGTATATGCACCATATTGCCTTATGAAAATTCAAAGTTTTCTGGATCACAAACCACATCTGGACCCAAAGGCTTTGGAAAAGGGATTGTCCATAGATGATCTGGAAGATATGGACTGATTTTGTCCAGTTCAACTCTGTGTTTTATTGTGAATTCTTGCTTATGGGTTACACAGACTATGTGAAACCTTGCAATTAAAACTATTAACAGCACCTACACTGTTTAGTTACAGCTTTTTTGACAACGCCTTTTGTCTACTTTTGCTTCTCAAGTGCTCTTCCTGCCTAGTGTACACCAACCCTCCTGGTATTAGGAAGGTTTAATGAAAGGCAAGGCAAGCCTAAGCTCGCGGCAACTGGGAGTGGCTGTTCGCAGCAGGGAGTGAGTGCAGGGGAGGGGGGAGGCCTGTGTGCTGGCTGGTAACTGCCTCTCTGCATCGTTACCTCATGCTTGGAAAATTTAACATGCATTGCACATTTTCTGTTCAACATTAATACAAGTGTATTAGAGGTTTTGGAAAATACAAAAGAGCACAGAAAAGAAATTGAGATAACCCATAATCTCAATACTTGAGATGACCATTGTTATCTCATTTTACAGAGGGAAAGCAAAGCAGCCGAGCTGGGACTCAAGCCCAGAGGGTGCCGGTGGAACCTGTGCTCTTCCCAGGCCTCCCTGCTCTGCTTGCCCTTTTTCTGGTTAAAGTAACCTAAACGTATACAGGCCACACACCCTTTCTGTGCTCTCTCTCTCTCTCTGGGAACCCTCTGATTGTCCCTATGACTTGTAACTCATCACGTGACATTTTAAGGGTCCAGGCACCCACTGTGTGGTCACGTAATTGGTATTGGGTCCACCCTGTAAGGGCATGGCTTTCCTGGTCCAGTACAGACTGGGTGCCACTTCTGGGAAAGGACCCGAGAATGTGCCTCCAGCACCGCTCCTGAGGGTGGCACACTCAGCCTGAGGGCAGCACACTCAGTCTGAGGGCTGTCTCCAGCTAGACCCGGTGTCGGATCTTGAGATATTTCCTGTGTGAGATATAATCACGATTTACAGTTTCTAATATGATTTATATTTCCCTTCAAAGTTACCTTTTAGCTTGCAGATATGCTGCAGGGCATAACAGCATAGAGGTCAAGTGCAAAGACTATGGAGCTACCTGACCTTGAGCAGGTGACTTAATGCTCCTGAGCCCCACTTTCATTACCTGGAAAATGGGGACAGTCTGCGAACCTCACACAGGGTTGTTACAAAACCTGAAGACAGGCCTGCTGCATCTGAGGCCCGCAGTGACTGGTGGCTGTCCCTTCTCTACAGCCGCATCCCCCGGGGGGAACCTGCCCCTGAGGATCTGGCGTATCACACAGCCTGATGCTCTTCAGACAGTGATGGCCTGTTTGTTTTTTAATCAAGGAAAGAAATTCCTATCTATTGAGTGTTATTAGATGCTGGGCACTGGGGTCAGAGACTATTCACATAACCCTGAAAGCAAACATTCTGGTCTCTCTTTTGCTGATGAAGCTCAGAAAGAATGAGAAACCAGCCCCTGGTCACCCACTGCATCAATAATAAGTTGGAATTTGAAGTGAGATTTGTCGCACCCAGAGCCCAGGTTTGTCCCACTGTCCCCTACAAAATCCGTCCCCAGTGACATGGACACTTTATTTCATATAGGACAGAAAATCTCTGCAGGCCTCCCTTTCAGAAAACTTTTCATTCAACATTTTCAAGATTTTTATTCTTTTTTTTTAAGATTTTATTTATTTTTAGAGAGGGAAGGGACGGGGAGAGAGAGAGAGAGAAAGAGAAACATGAATGTGCGGTTGCTGGGGCCATGGCCTGCAACCCTGGCATGTGCCCTGGCTGGGAATCGAACCTGAGATGCTTTGGTTCGCAGCCCACACTCAATCCACTGAGCTACGCCAGCCAGGGCTTCAAGATTTTTATTCTTTACATATCTATCATTTTTTATTTTTTCTATATTACAGAGGGATACATTTAAGTAAAAATAACTCAAAACTGTCTGCCTTATTGACAATAATTTCAACATTTACAAAGCTGGAGTTTTTATGAAGTGTCCCAGTCAGAGTTTTAAGTTCTGATGTCTTTCCATTATCTTATCTGAATTTAATTTGGGGTGATCTGATCAGAAGACATGTAGTCCTAATTAGTGTTATTGAGCTTGGGAGCAAAGTATAATTTAATTCTAGAGTTTATTAGTTTCAGTGATAAATAGCAAAGACTTTTGACGGTGCTCCAGCTATAGTTCTTCTTTCAATGCGGTTTCTCCTGCTCTGGGTTTCTTTTGCAGTTTCAAAGGCTGACCCGCAAGAAAAGGACATGGAAATGGAAGTAGACGATGTCTTTTGGAATACAAGGATAGTGCCAATTCTGCATAAATTAGAAAAAGGTAATAAAAATCAGTTTTTGTTTTAAATCAAAAATATCTGTGGTTATTTATATGTCCCCATTGTCCTGATATTTTTAGTATACTTTATCACTTCTGTGAACATGTTCAAAAGCAAATGAAGTCATCTACGTATCTACCAAGGGTTGTATGTATTAAATATTACATGTAAACCTAATTTCTAGTGAGTGAAATTATACCTTAAATGTGGCAAGAGAACCTAGTTCTAAAATTCCCCTTGGCGTATACATTAACTGTCACCCATTCTGCCCAAGGAAGTGCTGATTTGAACTCTTTAGGGTGGCAGTTAAGCAAGAAAGCGAACGATTAAAACATTTCAGGTCTCCGAGACTCTGACTAAGTCTCATAGACTGGCATCCCCAGCGGGCATGCCCCTGGTTTTCTAGATCCAAACGGACATGTCCTACTCTCCTTAGGTCAAGCATGCCCATTAGGGATGCCGCTTAGAGCAGGAAGTGCCCTGGCACTCTGCGGTGCCCAGCAGGGAAGGCCCACGATCAGCAGGTCTCTGCAAAAGGGACCTGTGGGAATCTTGTCAGAACGCCCCTCCTGCCACCCTTCTCCCACTTTGCCTCTGCTGGGGAGTCCATTTCTGAAGTCAAAACAGGCTCCGGGGGAGCTGCAGTGATGGCCCCAGGGGTGAGCTCAGCGGCCAATGCACAGCGCCCAGTGCACAGCGCCCAACCGGCCTTCACTGGGAATCGTGGCTTGAGTGTCTCTTGGATAAGCACAGCAGCATGGTAGCCACAGGAAGGGGCCCTGGGAGAAGTAGGGTAAATGAGGCCCCCCGCAGCAGCCAAGCCAAACAGGAAAGTCATGCAGAAGACCTACTTCCTAAAGGTTCCAATGACCTTGGCTCCCTGTAGGCACCTAGTTGTGTTCATGGCTAAAGCGGGAGCCCTGGACAGATGGCCACAGGGAATCACCTAATCTGTGCTCGGTAGGGCTCTTGCCTGCCAGGTGAGCAGTGAGTGAAACTAGATCGTTACCACAGTCCCCTGCAGCTCAGATCCCTGAGGGTGAGAGTGGGATGACTTTGTCCCATCTGGAGGGACTCATTTTCACCCTCTTGTTAGTGGACCAGGTCAACGGCAGCCCTTTTTTAGGAGATGTGTGCAAAGGCTGGTGAGGAGAGCAGTTAGTCTGGGTAGGAGTTTGGAAAGAAAGTGTCCTAGGAAGAACACAGCAGCGGGGAGAAGAGCCACTGTGCAGAGGCCCACCATGGAACAAGTCTTCAGCCTGAAGGATTTCAAGAGGGGTCCAAGGGCTCTGCCACCGCGGATGCCAACGGGAGTCAGCAGGAGCTTGGGGCCAGAAACGTGGGTGAATCTCCCTCCTCAGAAGGAACATTTATGGGCAACTTTAAGAACAGCAAAAGGGGGCAGGGCTGGGTTACTTGACCCTTCGAGATTCTTTTTTTTTCTTTTTTAACTTTTTATTTTGATGTAATTTTAGGCTTCTAGAAAAGTTGCAAGAATGCTACAAAGAAATCTTGTATGTTCTTCCCCCAGGTTCCCAGATATTACTATTTTACTACATTTGCTTCATCATTCTCTCTCTCTTCCTCCCCTTCTTGCACTTTTTCCCTACACCGCACCCCTCAACACACATGCACATTGTTTATTTTCCTTTTTTTAAACCCTTTGAGAACAAGTTGCCCACATGATGTCCCATAGCCCTAAGTGCTGTGGTGTGTATTTTTAGAAACAAGGGCATTCTGTTACCTATCTGGAAATTACCATACAGTAAATGATGAATCTGATCCAGATTATTGCCAGTTATCCTAATAATTTCCGTTATAGATAAAAGAAAATCCTGGATCACAAGTTCCAATTATTTGTTGTGTCTCTTTTATAATCTTAATATATTTGAGGAGTTTACAGGCTGCCTTGCAAATTGGGTCTGTCTGGTACTTTCCCAGCTGATAGTTACTGATCAGTAACTATCTGACAGTTACTGATAAATCGAGGGTAGGCATCTGAGGCAGGTGCATGGGGTGAGCAGTGCCGGGCCCCCAGTGCACCCCCTTAGGAGGCGTGTGAAACCGACTCGGTCTGTGACTGATTGTGATGTGACCTTGGATCACTTGAGGAAGGTGGCGTCTGCCAGATTTTTCCACTGGAAAATCACTATTTCCCCCATGTTTGAGATGATGTTGTTTTTACTACTCATTGAACTTTCACCCACTAGCTTTAGCCCCTTGAGAATCTTGCTAGCTCTTGGATTCAAGTTGTCTCTGAGGCTATATGGTATTTATAAAAAACCTAAGAGTATAAAGTGTTGATTTGATCAATAGTTTAAAATGTGATCCTTGAGCCTTCTTTTTAAATTTCTTTTAAGCTAACACAGATACTCTTGAGTACAGCCCACCAGGCTGAGGATTTTGTGGAGGGAAGTATTAGGAAAATGCACTGAAGTCTACACCCACTGCCAGAAAGTGGCCTGTGGCCTGGCCTCCGGTTTGTGAAGAAACTGCCAGTCACAGAAGAATAAAACAACAAAAATGTTTTTTACAATAGCTCAGGTTTTTCCCTTTATTTAAAGTTAGTCCAAGTCATTTCCCATCAATTCATTTATTTCAGTGCATAACTGAAAGGCATTGAAGGTTACTTACCCATTGAGGTTTAAACCTTTTTCTTAGATGTTATTGTTGAAAAGAGCTAAAAATGGCCTGAGTCATTTCCTTCTGCAGGCGCACACTTCCTCTATGTGGGCTTTTAAGAGCACATTATGGTATTTATTTAAGATTGGTTTCCTACTTTTAAATTTCGTGATGGAATCTATCAAAGATAATATTTTTCAACTGAAGGCCTTAGACCTTGGATTCTTATATTTCTCCTCCCGTTTCATGTCTCCTGCTTTTCTTCCTTGTGTGCCTATTAGAATGGCTGCCACTTTAAAAAAAAATTGCTTTCCTCAGAATTCTAACAGAAGACCTCTTTTTTATTCTCCTCTTTTCTAATAACCACCTCTCAATAATGGTGGGTGTGGTGACACTTTGAGATTTTGTTCTGTGTGAGCCCTCTGTTCTCAGATGATGAGCATTCTTCTCAGAAAAATATTGATCATCGATTTAATCAAAGATGTATTAGAAAACAAATATGCATTAGTCTGTGTTGCCGGTTGTCAGTGCAGTGTTCTCATGGCACCACGCACGATGGATGCAAACGTGCGTAAGACAGGATTCCCACCACAAAGCGTGACATCTGTTTGAGGGCCCTAGACATATAGCATAACATACATGTACATACATGTGAGAAATAATAGTACAAAATGGCATTTGTTGTATGTGGACTAGTGCACCTTTTCTTGATAAGCCAGAACCTCAAGAGAGCCTTGAAGGACCTGAATCAGTAGAAACAAGGAGGAGGAGAACATTCTAGACCAGTAGAGCTGTGCCCCAAAGGGCTGAATATGGAGGTGCAAGTGGTCTGCTTCCATGAGCCTGAACAGAGCCCTGGCTGAGGTGGAGGGTTTTTAGAATAAAAGAGACCAACTGAAATAGGTACAATTCCATTCTTCAAAATGCTCCTGAAAAGACCGTGTGTGCTCTATAAGCTGACTGATTAGTAAGTAAGTCAACTTGGTAGGAGATGGATTGACAAAATGAAAAAATCAAGTTGATAGCAATGATAAGAAAAGGGGAAGAGCATAGTTCAGGAATTTGAAGATGTCCAGGGAAATAATTATGGGTTTTTACTTACACTGTCTGTGTTTGACACACTTGAGAACTTGACCTTAATTAGTAAGTGCTGCCTCCCTCTCTTTGCCCTGACAGAGGAAAACATTGAAATGATGTGTGCTGCTTGCACAGAACTTCATCACGCTTTAGAGGAAGGACACATGCTTGGAAATAAATTTAAGAGAAGAAGTACTCTCCTGAAGACCTTGTATAAGCTAGTCGATGTTGGTTCAGACCCGCTCAGCCTTAAACTGGCAAAAATTATTCTAGCAGTAAGTTCTTCTTTCCTCTGGCCTAGTAGATGGTAATACATAAAGGCTTTGTTTAATGCTTCACTTGTAAATATTACAAAGATGATCAGAAATGCAGTATACTTGCTTAGAATCTTGAAAAAAATTAAGGCATTAAACTTATATCCCAGAATTTGACTAGAATGTACTGTCTAAGGAACTAAGCCTGAGGACACAGAAAATGTTCAAAAAACTCTTACATGTGGACTGTGGCTAGGTTTAAAAATGTGACAATAGGCAAATACATTCAGAACGGTTGCTCAAATAACTGGACTGGAGAGCAGTATCGGAGAGTGCAGGCTGTGGTTTCTGCTCTGCGGTTTCTGGTGGGTGCTTGATTTTGCCACGTGATTTAATAAATAACTTAAGATAACTTGAGCAATGGATACAGTGGCCAGGTGCTTTATGAACTGGCGTGAAGCAGAGAAACAGCTGCATGCGGGCGTGGGAAGGTGATCATAGAAGGCTCCTGTGAGGTGTCGGAAGAAAAAGCCAGACACCAAATGAAAGCGTAAAAACTCTGTCTCAGACAAAATGATATCATTGTTTGAGGGGAGCACTTTGTTGTCATAGCCATAAACAGTTGGAACCGAAAGATAAGTCACAGTTATTATAGAATGTTCTAAGACAGCCGCTAAAACAAGTGAAGCTTTGTTTACCCAGTTTCATAGAAGTAAAAGCTATTATGTTAACAACCCATAATTTATATAATTTAAAATCCTAAAGTACACAGTGAAAGTAAGCATTGGCATACTTGCTGACAGTGTAGTGAGAGTGTCCACCGTCTCTTACTTTGGTACCTTTCATGCGGAAGAATATTCGGACTGTATACTCTATGCAGTTCTTTGGAGCAGCTACATGCTTATTCAGCTGTTATCCTAAACTATTCACCAACCCCCTTGTAAAAATTGTGATATGATATATGACTCAGAAAACAACATTTCTTTGAACTAGTGTGTTCAGTATTATTTAAGTCCCCCTTCCTTGATGATAATTGATCAATCCCTTTAGTGAAACTAAAGGAGCATAAACCACAGGGAGGACTTCAAGTCAAAAGTTGTAAGTAGAGATAACAGGATATCAGCATGCTTGCCCAGTTCCCTTTCTGGCCCTGGACTTGGGGCACCTTCTGGCCCAAGAGAGCGCCGGTGTGAGTCTGGAGGGCTCTGCCAGTGCAGCTGCCAGCTGCCCAGGAACTGCCTTTGGTTTTCCATCCAGATCCTAGACATCCTGGCCATACAAAGCCAAAAAAAATCAGTAAATCAAGGAGTGAGAGAAAGAAGGAAGATGGTATGAATTTGTTAATGCTTTGCAGAGAAAGTATTATCTTGGTTACTAAAGGTGCCATTCAAATGAATTATATACATGACACAATTTAACAATTTTAAGGCAAGCCGCTAAGTGGTCTGGCAGGCAGTGAACATGTTCCGGACAAAACGCACGTTTAGATGAAGCCCTCTCCATGGCATTGCCTGCCTTGCTGTATCAGGGGCGAGACTCGCTGGGCCCCACTCCAGAGTGCAGAGACAGGTAGGCTGTCCCTTCTAATTAACTACAAACCCACTGGGCCAGCCCATCAGGCTCAACTTCCCATTTGCCTCCTGAATCTCCTCTAACATTCCAGGCAAGATGTTGTTTCGCTTCGGCCTTGATGATGGGGTTCTATGTGAATTTTTAAAAGACCACATAAAATGCTGTTGAAAACAATCAGCAAAAAACTAAAGGTATATAGGACTAAGAAGTTTTTAATAACTTCTTTTGCCAACATTTAGTTTATCTATCAATTTAATGTAATAATTCAGACATTTTAAATTATTTGTAGTTAAAAAATTCAGTGAGCGCAATGTTAGTTGTTCTGATTTCTTGCATTCTTTGGTTTAGTGGAGGTTTGTCAGACCACTTTAATTTTACTCTTTGTATTGAACAATCTTACAAAAACACATCAGTCTATATTCAGATTTTTTTGAGAGTATAAGCATATGTACACTATGAATGTAACTATATTCAGGAGGGGGAAACATTTAGCACCCTGTATGAGGGTAAAAAAAAACAAAACAAAACAGAAAAGAAACACCAGTATATCAACAGTGATTATATATAGTGGTAGTGTTATGAGCGATTTTAAAACTTCTCTTTAATTTTTCAAATTTGCTTTAAATAGAAAAGACTACTATTTTTAACATAAGAAAAATACCCCACCAAAGGACCCAGCTTTGTGCCAGGGACTCTTGACACTGGGAATACAAGTGACTAGCAGAGCCCCTGCCCTCCAGGCTGGCCCCGCAGCCGGAGGGACAGACAGTAAACACATGAAGTGCCCAGTGGGCTGCTGTGTGCTGCGGGAAGAACATTAACCAGATTAAAGGGAATGGACAGTGTGTGGGGGGCAGGGCGGGGAGGGGGAGAGTGCTGTTTTATGTAAGGTAGTCTACATGCTTTGCATATAATGTAATATTTTACTAACTTTTCATGTCTCAAAGTCATAATTTTGCAGTTTTCAAAAGATAAGGTATAAGAATTTGCTTTGAATGTAAACTGGCCTTATAGCAGACCTGTAAATTGGGAGTTATTTGTTGTTTTCTTTAATGAAAACTCTGACACTTTTTCCCCCTTTGGTACTTTTCACTAAGAATATAAGACTTGGGTGTGTGGAGGGTGGGGTTGGTTGTATTCATTCATTTATCCCACAGGCTTTATCAAGCGTGCAGCACATGCTGCGCACTGCCATTGAAAGAGCAGTAAATTGTGATTTTTGACCTCAAAGTCTCACAACATTATGGAAGATTGTTGACTAATTAAAATATAAAAAATATTGTTGACTAATTAAAAATTCTTACGTATTAAGAACATTATATTTTCCATTGATGTAGAATTTTTTTCTATTTTCTTTCACTTGTTTTCTGAGTGCTTACACAATATTTTTTTAAGCACTCAATCATTAAAAATGTGTATGAGTTCCCATTTCCATTTTTCCTCCTGAGAACAGCAGGAATCTCCATTCTGCCATATGTGCTTGTTTCTGAGGCTTCTGCAACAGGGCTCCTCAGACTGAAACGTGCGCAGGATCCCTTGGGAGCTTGTTAAAGTGCAGGTTCTGAATCAGTCCTGTTGGGCAGGGCCTGGGATTCTGCATTTCTAATATTGACCAGGTGATGCCAAGAGGAGTTGAATGACTTGTCTGAGGAGCAGACTCCTCAGTTGCAAAATGGGAATGACAACACCTAATGTGCAGGGTGGCTCTGGCATAACAGGTAAAGGGCCCAGAGCAGGGGCCAGACAGAAGCTACTCCATGGAGAATGTGCCCCCCCTCCTCCAGTGGGGCTGATTGTATTCATCACTGTATCTCCTACAGCGGGTGCACAGTGCACAATGGGCATTCAGTAATATTTATGGCTCAAACACAAAACACGTCTTTAAAAAAGTATGATTGACAAATTCCATTCTCTTTTTTAAACTAACCAAAACTCATTAATAAACAATATTAAAGATAATTTGAAAGATACTCTTTAATGATAACATAATGACCCTTATGCCTTCCTTTTCACACAGATAGATTTATTTGCTCAGATGACCTTAATCCTACAAACCTATTTTATACTTGTGCAGTGAGGGAATGTAATATTTCTATTTTATAATAGAAATATCAAAAGCTTATAAATGTCTTTTTTAAAACATAGTGTTCACAGTTATACTTTTTGTGAATGCTTAATATGAGTAGTATTGATGTTCCACAATTTATCAAATTATTCCCTAACATTGGGATCTTTAGGATTTTTAGGATATTGGATATTTAGGATTTTCTTTTTAATCTTTACTACTTTAAATTTAAAAAACAGCTGATTTAGATGATTCAGTTAGTCCTGCTATACTGTGCTTTTTAAAAAACATATGAGGTCTGTCTAGAAAAAGTCTAGCCATTGTTAATATAATGAGAACATTTTGCAGGACATTGATGTAACCTGGCAGCCAAGAAAGAAGGGACTGGAATGCACATGTGTGAACAATGATGACTTCACTGTACCAGTCAGTGAGGGTGGTAGATGCCACCGAGTGAGTATGTGTACTGTGTGGCCATCACATTCAAAATGACTGAGTGAGTAGAGCAATGAATCTGCAACAAATTTTACATTAAGCTTGAACATTCCTCTGCAGAAACTATTTGATGATGCAGAAGGCCACAGCTATGAGCAACTGGTGATTGGCAGCTTCATCACAACAATGCACATCTCGTACAGAGTTTTTGGTGAAACACCAGTTCACCCAGGTGACTCATCTCCCATTACAGCCCAGATTTGGTCCCTGGGACTTCTGGCTTTTCCCAAAACTAAAATCACCTTGGAAAGGGAAGACATTTCAGACCACCAGTGAAATTTGGGAAAATATGATGGGGCAGCTGACGGTGACTGGGAGAACTGTGTGATGTCCCAAGGTGCCTACTCTGAAGGGGACTGAGGCATCATTGTCCTGTGTACAATGTTTCCTGTCTCTTGTACCTTGTGTTACATGGCTGGATACTTTCTAGACAGACCTTGTATACTTCCTTATCACCCCTATGTTTAATTTACTTGAATTTTTTCTGTGATTTAGAAGGTAATTTTAAACTTTGAACATTACTTGTCATTATCTCAAAGCATTCCAGAAAATTCCTTAAAAATAAAGAAATATGTATATTACCTGATGAAAGAATGACTTTTTAATTTTCTTTTATACAAATGATAAAAAGAATCGTACTTTTCCCCTTTCTTTTCTAACTTTCACCTCCACTATGTTTTTGAAGGTAGTTTAATCTGAAATGTTGGTATCCATCTTTCTTTACTTTTGTGTTTTAAAGCAACTATTCCATTTAATTAAATTTATCAACATTATCTCCCCTTTTTCCTCATATACTCTTTAAAAAGTAACTAGTAATCTCACATATAAGCATGTGCCTTTATGAAATAAAAAATAAACACTTATTATTAAAATGTGCTAATCCTAAATATTATTTATATTAGATAGTTGGCAAATAAGTGGCCAAAACTTTTGAAAGTTAATTTCTGTAGAGCTTTGTTTTATATTTTAAAAATACTCTTGCTGCACTTTTAAAATGAGAAGTTTGTGTTTAGAAATCATGGCATGCCTTTCCTTCCCTCCGTGACAGACATGTGTTTTCCTTCTCTGCAGCTTAAAGTGAGCAGAAAGAATCTCCTTAGTGTCTGCAAACTTATATTTAAAATTAGCAGAAATGAGAAGAATGATACTCTCATTCAAAATGACAGCATTCTGGGTGAGTATCATTCAGCACTACCACTGACTAAATGTTGCACTTGAGTGTAAAGTTAAAATTAACGACATGTGGAATTTTTTATCTCCTAGTATTATGTGGAAGTTATGTGACATTTGTACTCTATCCTTCTCTATGTTTTCCACATTCCATTTAATATATCCTTTGGAAGCTAGGAGGGTAGTCTGCTATTTTTGTAATGCTTGTAGTATATGTGACTTTGCAAAGTGTTCCCTATTGAAAATTTCATTTCCTGGTCTTAGATTTATTATCAGGAAAAAAACACACACCACATTTAATAGTATTTAACATAATTGAAGTTCGTGTCTTTTGTATATAGTAAGAATGACTAAAACTTGGAAGACTTCTATAACTGTTGTAGAAATTTGTCATCCAAGTGTCTCAAATGTGTTTCAAATATGTAGATAGAGAAATTTTACTACATTCTAACTACCTAGCTAATGAAATCTAATTCTTGATGTGCTCTTAGATAATTAAGATGCTTAAATCATTACCTAAATAGAAGTCTTTTATGAAACAGCATTGCTGATCTAAAGGAAGGCAGCATGGCAATACTTTGAGTCCTCTTTTTGCAACATGAGAGGGCAAATGGTCTTCCGCTTTTTTTCTACCCCAGTAAACAGGGACAGGCCCAGTCAAACACTGAATCAGCTCTTTGAAAACTGTAGACTAAAAACAAAGATTCTGATAAATGATCACTCTGACATTAATAAAATAAAATATGAGGGAGGCATAAAAAACCTTATCAGAGTTGCTTGGATTATTCCTAAAACCTAGTAATAGTATGTTTTTGGATGGATGTTCTGAAGTTGTCTTGGGAAAGGGTGGATATTATATCTGAAGCATTCCTTTCTACAGTGATCAAGATTTTTTAAAAGGTCCTATCTCAATTAATTTTCCATTCATACAGCAACTGGTATACACTTCATGGTTTGTTGAAATGTAACTCCTAAATTTCTTTAATAATTAATTATTCTACAATAATTCAAAATGTGTGTAATCAAAATAAAGGTTGGTAAATGTTAGCAAGAGACAAGGGTTAGCATTTAAAGAACACTTTCTTATTTATATATTATAGCCCGTCCTTTTACTGTCATTACTATTATGAAGATTTAGCTAAAAGTAGGTTTTCCTCTTTATACTAATCAATAATCCCTAACAAGCATTTGACTTTAGGTTCTGACTTACATTCTACAAATTGTATTTGACATTCACATACAAACACTTTAATATATCTCTGTCCAGCTGATATAATCACACATTTGTAATACTCCATCTTTTTGACAGAGTTGTTATTGGAGGTCCTGAGAAGGGAAGACCTGCAAGCGAACACTGAAGCTTTTTTATACTGTATGGGGGCTATCAAGTTCATTTCTGGAAACCCAGGATTTCTCAATGAAATGGTCAGCAAAGGTGCTGTGGAAATACTGATGAATTTGATAAAGCAAATAAATGAGAACACCAAGAAACACAGTACGTGTTTGCCTGATTCAGGCCACTTGTTAGTTCAAGTAAGTATTTTACTTAAAGAGGTAAAATGTGTAAAATTAGTTTTCATGTTACCTAGTAACAGTTACCTGCCAAGTGACTACAACAGGTAACAACAGGTGGGCTGTTGCCTACATCCAGGCGGGGGTGCCTGGCCTTGGGGACAAAGGGCAGCAGCCAGTGCCTCACCTCCTCCCCACGTATGCCTGTTTCCCCTGGAAAGGCTCTTCCATGCCTGTGCATGGAGCAGCTGTCCACACAGCTTGCAGACAAATTTTCCACTACCCTGCAGAGAAAGAAGGCCTGGGAGCATGAAAAAGCAGCACCTTTTTGGAAAACAATTGCATGTCATAATCAGAATTATAATTATATGGAGATTGTTCATGACGATGGGTGGTAAATGTCATGAATCTTGTATCTACAATAAAAACCAGAAAGTTAATGAGATTGAGTGGGTAGTTGTCGAGGGCATATGTAGATGGCATGCAGGCCTGAGACTACAGGAACGAAGGAGAAAAGAGTGAATACATTTAATAGGACCAGGGCAGGGAGAAAAAAGGCATTGTGTGTTAGAATTTTATTACTTCTTTTGTGGCAGATTAAATTTCATAGATAAATTATTTTCACTGGAGCTGCTTCAGCTCTCATATTCTTTTTTAGATGAGATTTTACTCTTTAATAGCGTTTGTATGTCAGATAATAGCATCTTTGATGTAATAATTAATGAGATTTGAAATGTGCTTGTCAATTAATGAGGATTGATTAAGTACTCAGAGCCCTTGAAGCCCTTAGGGAAATGTGTTAAAAATTAGATCTAGGCCCTGGTATAAAGATGCATAAAGTGTTTATGATGATTATTAATTTTGGACTTGTGGTTTTGTCTCCATTTTGAAGATTGTAGAAACCTCTTTGTCACAAATGATTCACAATTCTGCTGGCTGTGCCATCTTTTGGCTAGGAAGACTTAAGAAACATTATATTCACACTGCCAGCGTTACTATTTAGTTATTCAAATTTTCCCTCAGTGAATAATTATTTTGGTTATATAATTACACTTTTTGTTAAAATGCAAAAAAGTATAAGGAAGTGTATAAAAATAAAACAGCTTTTATTTTCTCCCTGAGATAACAACATACCTCCAACATTTTAGTATCCATTCTTTGAAGCATTTCATGCATATGTATACTTACATATGTATAATTATATATAATTCTTGCTTTTTATCATGGAACCTGTTTTTTTAATAGTTATATTTGCTTGTTTTCCATCATTTTTTCCCTCCTTGTTTCTCCTCCGGTCCACCCAGTTGGCCATCTCTGTTCACACTGATGTACTCAGAGCCTTCTATTATACTCATAGGCTTCAAAAAGTGTAGAAAAGCCCTTGTCTTTTCTCATTCAGCAATAGTAAAACCCCTTTGAGTCAATTCCACATACTTATTTTATTTTTTTTAATGGTAGCATAATATTCTGTGACTAGGCTGTACCTCAAATAATTAACCATTCTTCTATTGAGATATTCACTCTGTTTTTAGTTTTGATTCAACAATTTCTGGAATTCTTATCTAGTTTAAAGAATCTTTTTTCAAATTATTTATCTATGTATATTTTTATAATAAAATGAATTAGAAAATCATAAATTGTAAAATATAAATATTTGTATAATTAAATATAAATATTTATATTTATATATTCACATATATAATGCATTGGAAAGAGCTTTTTAAAAAATATTTCATTGATTATGCTATTATAGTTGGCCCATTTACCCCCCCTTATACCCCTCCACCCTGCACACCCCCTCCCACCCGCATTCCCCCCCTTTAGTTCATGTCCATGGGTCGTACATAGAAGTTCCTTGACTTCTATATTTCCTATATTATTCTTAACCTCTCCCTGTCTATTTTGTACCTACCATTTATGCTACTTATTCCCTACCTTTTCCTCCTCTGTCCACCTACCACTCCCCCGCTGATAACCCTCCATGTGATTTCTATTTCTGTGATTCTGTTCCTGTTCTAGTTGTTTCCTTTGTTTGTTTGTTTGTTTGTTTTTAGGTTTGGTTGTTAATAGTTGTGAGTTTGCTGTCATATTACTGTTCATATTTTGATCTTCTTTTTCTTAGATAAGTCCCTTTAACGTTTCCTATAACAAGGGCTTGGTGATGATGAACTCCTTTAGCTTGACCTTATCTGGGAAGCACTTTATCTGCCCTTCTACTCAAAATGATAGCTTTGCTGGGTAGAGCAATCTTGGATGTAGGTCCTTGCCTTTCATGACTTCAAATACTTTCCAGCCCCTTCTTGCCTGCAAGGTTTTTTTGTGTTTTTTTTTCTTTTTTTGAGAAATCAGCTGACAGTCTTATGGAAACTCCTTTGTAGGTAACTGTCTCCTTTTCTCCTGCTGCTTTTAAGATTCTCTCCTTATCTTTAATGTTGGTTAATGTAATTATGATGTGCCTTGGTATGTGCTTCTTTGGGCCCAACTTCTTTGAGACTCTCTTGAGCTTCCTGGACTTCCTAGAAGTCTATTTCCTTTGCCAAATTAGGGAAATTCTCCTTCATTGTTTGTTTAAATAAGTTTTCAATTTCTTGCTCTTCCTCTTCTCCTTCTGTCACCCCTATGATTAGGATATTGGAAAGGTAAAGTTGTCCTGGAGGTTCCTCAGCCTCTCCTCATTTTTTTGAATTCTTGTTTCTTCATTCTGTTCTGGTTGAATGTTTATTTCTTCCTTCCATTGATCCAAACCATTGATTTGAGTCCCGGTTTCCTTCCCACCACTGTTGGTTCCCTGTAACATTTTCCTTTATTTTACTTTTCATAGCCTTCATTTTTTCCTCTATTTTGTGACCATAGTCAACCAATTCTGTGGGTTTCCTGATCATCAGTGTTTTGAACTCTGCATCTAATAGGTTAACTATCTCTTTGTCACTTAGTTGTATTTTTTCTGGAGCTTTCATCTGTTCTTTCGGATTTGGGCAATTTTTTTTTTTTTGGTCTTGGTGTGATGTTAGGTAGTAAGGGGTGGAGCCTTTACTAGGTGTTTACCAGGGTGGAGCAACCCCCACGTCACTGCGTCACTGCGTTGTGACTCAGTACGTTGGGGAGGGGTCCAAGAGGGAACACAATTCCTTGTTCCGCTGTCTGCCAGATTTCAGTCACTTCCGGATTTCAGTCACTTCCGGGGCTACGCCCAAGCAAGCTGGGCTTTTCTGGCGCTGCTTCCCGAGTGGGTGGGTTTGTGTATGTTCTAGGACCCCCGTGGGTCTCTCCAATGAACTCTCCCATGGGGCTGGGAGTTTCTCCTGACACCGCAACCCCCACGGGTGTTTTTAGTCAGAGGCTTTGAGGCTTTATTTCCCTGCGTTGGGACCCTGGGTTACATGGTCTGTCTAGCTCCCCAGTTGCTCCTCCTGGTTCATGCGCACTCAAATGTGGGACTGCCCAGTCTACCGGCCGCTGCCTTGCCACAAGTCCTCTCCGCCCTGGATGCCCCTCTCTGCCTCTCCTACAGGTCTGTATGAATGTTTCTTCTTTAACTTCTTGGTTGTCAGACTTCCATACAGTTCGATTTTCTTGCAGTTCAGTTGTTTTTTGTTTTTAAATTTGTTGTTGTCCTTCTTTTGGTTGTGCAATGAGGCATACTGTGTCTACCTATGCCTCCATCTTCAGAAAGAGCTTTTTAAAACCAGACTCTCTCAATATATGTGTGTACACAAATATATAATTGACTATATATCTGTGTCTATAATATATATAAAGTAGACTGTATGTCTATACCTCTATATATCTGTGGATAGATAGCCTGGTTTAAAAAGAGCTCTTTTCAACCTATTTTTATATATAATATTGTGTATTTTTAAACAATTATATAATGTTATATATTTTATATTTATATAAATATATTTACATAATTTATACATTTAAATATATAAATTTATGTATACTTATATTTCTCATTTATTTATACATAATAAAATATGTAACTATATAATATATAGGAGCATTGAGTATATCAAATCAAGAACTAGGACCTCTGGTATACCAGCAAGTACAGTGTTCTCCCTGTGTTTCTCTTTTCTCTCCCTGTTCTCTCACCTCAGCTTCATCCGGTGCACACTAACTCACTAGGTCAGATGCCCCTTTTCTTTCCTCACATGCACGCACCCCTCTAGGGCACTGTGGTGCGGAGCCCTGTAGTGACGTCCTCCTCACTGCCCACCAGCTCTCGCCAGGCACTGTCCTCTGAACTTGCCTGGCATCTACTGCCCACATGACTGAGTACCGTCCCAGAGGCATAGTCAGCACCCCACTTCTACATCCAGCAAAAGAAAGTGGGGCCTGGCCCATGGCCACCAACTGCCTTTTGCATCAACTATACAATGTCAGTATGTGTGTCTACAGATTTGGACAGGGAGGAGATGTTGTTTCAGGATGTTTCATTTGCAAAATCCCCTGAACTGGACATTTCATCATATATGTATAATTAAAACAAAGAGAAACTGTTTTGTATTATACGAATGATAAGAAGTAAGCAACAGAACTTCACTAGGAGCGCAGAGGGAAATCTCTACTCTGTGAATGTGTAACACTGACTGGGTTTTGACCAGCCTGCTCATGTGCAAATTCAACCAAACAGATCTGGCCATGTGCAGACTTGTTTGCTTACACCAACTTGTAGAACCTGGTAACTCTAGCTCCTGAGGCATTTTTTTAAAAGGCAACTTTAACTGAAAAAATAAGTTGTTTGTAGCTGCACTAATGAAATAATATCTGTAAGCCAGAGAGAACATGGCAAGGCAGAAAAGATAAAGGCAGGCAACTTTGGACAGCCAGGACTTCCTGTCCTTTATGACTTTCAACCCAGAGAACCTCAGAAGCTTTAGCATCCTTTCTGGGGACCTCCTATTGTAAAACTTTGTACATTCTAGCATCTGGCAGAGTGCTAGAGTCATCCTATTTCCCTAAAGCAGTCCCACTGGGGGCCATTGAATGAATGAAAACATCTGAAGCTGGACCACACA